AAAAAAAAAAAAAAAAAAAAAAAAGACGTTACTAGCCTTAGTTGTCACATGTAACATTCCTTGATAACAATAAGGATAGTACTGGTCAGTTTTGCCACACTTTAGCTACTGTGCCACAAACACAACAAAGGCCCAGTTTTACCCCATGCATGCTCATGGACCCCATAAAGCTAGGATCTCTAATCTAGAGGCTACCTTCAAAGCCAATATATTGTTGCCTACTTTCCAATAATTACATACAGTATATGACACACCCTCCAGATGCAGACATGGAGTTTTGTAAACATCACAAAAGATAAAACTTACATTAAAGCAGAAACAGTTTAGAAAACAGTTACACATAGTTAAGCTTTGGTTAATGTAAGGTTAGTGAATGAAGTATGTGCTTTAACTTGCATAGAAACCAATGGCATATAAACGTATCAAAATTTGGCTAAACCTTGATTCTGCATTTTCATCTGTAATGAAAAACCTTCATTTTATTTTATGTTAAGACCAACAGACAGCTGTGACACATTAATTCTTCTCTAAAGAATTGTAGAAATTGGCAAGTTTGCTAAGCATATTTAAATGACTGAAGTATTTAATTTGCTTATCACAGGGATGGGCAGCACTTTTCAGTTATGGATGGCATTTTAAAAATTATTTTTAGCCTCTAAGAGCTACATACATTGGATCTGACAGCCAAAACCTTCAGACATTTTCTATTACTTTGGACAGGAGAATAATAAAAAAGTAGGTATGTTAAGCCTCCCAGAATATTATTGGGCCAATTTAGAGTTTAACTACCACCACCACTCCCACAAATAAAATATATTCCTGAAAACTGCAATTTTGCTGTTGAATTTCAACATGATCTAGGGGGCTCTGTGATTGCCCATCCCTAATTATCAGAAAATTGTTTCACACTAATTTTATTACCTTTTTATAAAATATGTTATATCTGAGATGCGATTTAAAGCAGTATTGCTTGTTGCTAATTTTTGAATTTGTAATATTTTATCGTAATTTTCACTGATCTTGCATGTTTTATGATCTTCAGTATCTCCCTCAGCCCTGAAATGCTTCAGAATAATACCCTGAAAAGGGGATATGGGATTCTAGTTTGAAGACAGAAAAGAGTGAAGTGATGATTCTTTATCTTATGAAGTGGAAGCCCAAAAGTTACAACAATAAAAACAAGCAAAGACGTCAACATTGCCTAATACATTTAAAGAGATGTTATCATTAGAAAAGCAGCCTGAAAACACTCTATCACCACATGGTAAACAAGTTCAATGAAGTTAAACACTTTATGACGTGGTCCTACATAAACTGAACTCATTTTTGTATGAATTAAAACTGTACATATATTCACTTTGCATAGTTAATGCTGAAGAAAACACAGTTCCTTTAAAGGCTAACAGATTGTGGGGGCACAAATTGTGTGGACTATTATTCCCTTCCTCTTATGAAAATTTAATATGGAATGGACCTCTGATAAAGTAGTAGTTTTTAGTGTCCAAAAGTACATGCAACAGCAAATTTTTTAATCCTGAATACTGCCACAAAACTGGTCTTGTGCATAAATGAACCTAAATCATTATGTTTGAAGCAGGAATCACTGTTTTTTTCAGGAAGCCCTGACTAAAAATGCTGATCTTACACTGTGTGATCCAATCTTGTGTGAACAATGCATGCATTTATTATTCCTTTGGAATGTATCTTGAAGAAAAAGAAATTCATAACAATCTACTGCATTCAGCTCAAAGAAGCATAAGTTTTAAAGTATAATCAAACCTGTACTGCAAATAAAAGACAGTATTAAAAAGGGAAATACTGTATCAGCACATACCCTGTATTGCATAAGCTCCCAACTGAGCAGCAATGTTGACAGGACAAGGCAAGCGCCCTTGTAAGACATCTTGCTTCACCTGTAAAAAGAACTGATACCTGAAACAAAGGCAAAAATTAGCATTAGCACATACAAGTGTAAACTCCTTAACATGCTCACTTCTCTGTGTAACAGTTTTATTTAAAATAATCATTGTTCATTAAGTATGAGATGGGAATGTACCTATACCTCCTTAAAGTTAGTTTCACATGTTTTCAGTGTAAACTAATTCCATTTTATTTCCACACTAGCTTGTAATTTTTTTTTTAAAGGCTATTTTTGTAAGTAACTATTCTTAACATACTCATTTTAATGATAATTTTAAAACTAAAAACGACACTACAAAATCCATAAAATCATAAATCAAAAGATAACCAAATTGTGATCAACATTATTCCCCAGAAGGGGAGAGATCGCACCTGCAGCCCTTCACATGTGGAGTGCTTCAGGGTTTGACGCTCTCTCCCTTTTTTTAACACCTACCTGAAATCATTAGGTGAGGTCATCTGTCAGTTTGGGGTTTGGTATCATCAGTATGTGGGTGATACCCAACTGTATATCTCAACTCAACCCAGAAGCTGAAGCTCCCAATGTAGTGACCCAATGTTTGGGTCTGGATGGGGAGGAATATACTTCAGCTCTGACAAGACTGAGCTATTGTGGGTGTCCGCACCGCCTGGGTCCTGGATGCTTTTATCTTTGCCCTTGGATGGGGTTGCACTTTCTCATTCAAAAGCTAGTGCACAACTTGGGAGTCCTCCTGGATTCTCAGCTACTGCTCAATGAACAGGCGGTAGCTGTGGCCAGGGCAGCCTTTGCACAGTTAAAATGCTGTAATCTAATGGAACTGAGGAAGCACACCTTCTCTGTTGCAGTGCCTGCCCTCTTGAGTCACAGCCTCCAAGAGATATGTATGGTTCCCACTCTGTTAGGATTCTGGAAGGCTCTTAAGACCTGGCTCAGTACCCAGGCCTCTGATTAATGTGTTAGTGGAGCCCCTGTACTACTGTTGTTTTTATTGGTGTGGCTGCTTTTGTCCAGGTTGTTATGCTATGTGGTTATGTTTTAAATTGGTTTAAATTGTACACTGGATGCTGTAAACCACCCAGAGTCTTTTGGAAAGGGACAGCTATAACAAATCTATATAATAATTATTTTATATTGTTGGTTGCACAGTCAGCCAGATGTTTAGGCTAGATTTGGCATTTTTATCCACTTACTGAGTCCTTCCCAAGGACCTGGGATAAGCAGAGGTTGTTGTTTAATAATATTAAAGGTATCATCGCTGGATACAAGCTGTTCCAGGTAAAGCTGCCTTTTGCAATTGACTGATGGTGATTTTGTCAATGCCGATGGTCTTTAAGTGGTACTCCAGATGTCTTGGTATTGCAAAGCACCTATTACAATTGGTACTATCTTTCTTTTGCCACAGTTGTTCTACTTCTATTTTATTTATTTATCATATTAATATAGCTGCCTATCTCACAAAATGTGATTCTGGGCAGTGCATAGTAAAATAATAATAATAATAATAATAATAATAATAATAATAATATAAAAACAATTAAAATATTAATATTTAATATTACAATGTTTTAAAAAGCAATGAGCACGCAACAGATATTAACAACAGTGGAGCCACCTCAACAATTCGCCATTCCCTTGGGGCCCCCAAGCCTGATGACACAGCCAAGTCTTGACGGATTTGTAAAAAGTTAACAGGGATGGAGCCAGCCTGATCTCTCATTATGCCCCTCAGTGTATAATCTTGACCTTGACTGGTTCATTAAAATTAGCAAGAACAATGTCTAGTTTAAGACAATTGAATCATATAATGGAAACTCCCATTTAGATAATTGCACATATATAATGCCATAAACACTACAACAACCCCAGGTTAAAGATGAAAGGTCCAGCTAACTAAGATAGAGGAACAGAATCTACTTTAAATATGTACTTGGGGGAAGAGATAGATTGAACTGTAGGTATATAATGAATTACCAGAAGTATCTCCCTCTGATTTCAGGAGAGCTAATGAACCTGATTCGTAAGAAAGGTAAGAGAATGAGTGCAGCCCAACCATCTGAGACCACTGTAGGTAACATGGTGAGATAAGTGTTGAAGATAATTCATGAAGAATACAGCATGTGATTTTTTCCAGTTCTTTCTCTTCTATTCTGCTCTCTCCAGGTATTCCAATGTCTATTATTATTGTTGATTGCACAGTCAGCCAGATGTTTAGACTGGTTTTGGCATTATCCACCTACTGAGTCCTTCTCTAGGACCTGGGATAGGCAGATGTTGTTGTTTGATAGTGCTAAAGGTATCGTTGCAGGATGTAAGCTGTTCCAAGTAAAGCTGCATTTTGCAATTGACTGATGGTGATTTTGTCAATGCCAATAGTCTTCAAGCAGTACTCCAGATGTTTTGGGATTGCAAATAATTGCATATAATTATTGGTACTATCTTTGCTTTCTTTTCCACCAGTCATTCTATTTCTATTTGCAGGTCTTTATATTTTGTGATTTTCTCCAGTTCTTT